AAAGTAATTTTTCAAGCTGATTTTATGTGGGAAAAGTCCAACTTCCTTACTCTCTTTGAATTATTTTAAGAGAGAAATTTTCAAAGGAATCTGAATACCCCTCCCATTTAAAATTAATATTGTCAGCATTCGGGCACTGTGCAAAATTGTCAGCATTTAATGCACTAGGTAAGATAAATTTTCTTAAAAATAATAATTGGTATAAACTTGAAAAAAATGTAGTTCACTTTATTTCCTAAACAATTATTACCAGAAATAAAGAATAATTATACATGGTACTATAGAATCTCTCCTTTAAAATCTCCTGTATTTACTCATTATAGAAACATTCATTTTATAATAGATCAATTTTATTATGTAGACATTTTTTTTCAATTTTAGATTTTATTAACTGTAACCTTCCTTGAACATATTTACATAAAACATGTGACTATTCTTTGATCAAATTTAGTCAGGGTATCTATGTATGTGCTATGAGAAAATGAGAGGGAGACATACTTTTAAGAAACTCTTTGAGCATCTATTCATATGCCTCAAAGTATTATCACCCAATGGAGTTGAGTTACTTTTCACCTTATTCCCTACTTCCTCAGCTGTGGTCCATTCTAACCTAGAATAGATATCTGCCAAGTGATCCAGTTTGGATAGTCCAGATTGGGACAGAAATCTATTTTGGGAAGACTGTAGATTTGACTAAATCCATCATTAAAAAAAAACAAAAACATGCTGCTGAAAGTTTTTGTGGAAGCAGTTTCCAGTTTAAGCGCTGCTTTATGCCTGAAACAGCAGAGACATGCCAGCTGCCTGGGCTTATTTTGCCCACAAATGATGGAATCCTGGGTGGAGTTGGGTCAAGGGTGGTGGCAGCACTCAGTATATCCTCATGCCACAACATGCTAAAAGTCTTAGTGTTATCTGGGGTTTGGGTGGTGCAGCTGAGCAAAGTCCAAGTTCTACAGTTTCCAACTTGTTTATTGCTCCAGAAAAAGGCATTTCCCACAGCAATCCGATGTTTATTTTCATTATATCATTGATACAATAAGTCCAAGCAATATTGTGATACCCTGTTCAGATTCTTGTATTTTACAGAGGTCATGGGATTGAACTCGAATAAAGGTGTCCAGAAAAGGAAAACTGTGTTTAGCAGTTTTACTATATAGAGATGGTTTAATCCAGGGTTCCCCAACCTCTGGGCTATGGACTGGCACTTGGCCACAATCTGCCAGGAACTGGGCTGTAGAAGTGATAGAAACCCCATACGAATATGTACAGGATGCAGGCAGCAGGCAAAACCATGCCACCCACCCACCCCGGCCCCATGGAAAAATTGGTCTCCATGAAACCAGTTCCTGGCTCCCAAAAGGTTGTGGGGGGGCGCTGGTTTAAACTTTGATTGTGCACAGAAGGACATATACTTCTTTTCACTCTGGAACTCGAGAGCGCCCATGTAGTTTTTCCTTCTCCCTATAATTCTGTGAGATATGTTGGATTAAGAGTGTGACTGATCAAAAATAATTATGGTAATGTCCTTGTTAAGAGTGGAGCTGGACACGTCTCCCTGCACCTAGTCCAGTATGTTAACTGCTACACCACAGTAGCTTTGTTCTGTTGAAACTATCCTTTTTGGTATAGACTTTTAAGGGGCAGCATAATCCGAGTATTTCCGTATTGCAAGCATTTTGACTAATGCAGCTAGAAGGCATTATGTTGCTTGCCATAAAGTTTTCATGCCCAACTGAAGGTGCTAGTAAACACTTAAGTAGCACACCTATAACTTCATCAGCCAAAATGTGACTGACTGACTTTCATTTTGGCCAATTATGTGAACCCACTATATATGGCCTACTTAAAAAAACACTCCATTATTCAGCAACATACAGTATTATAGTGTCTTGCATAGCCAATGAAAGGTCTATCTCTCCCCTATGAAAGAGAAATTGCTTTTATCAGAGGCCCCCGAGGGGAGACTCCTAATGATGAAATGAGAATATCCCAAGTGTGGAATATTTTATGCACAGGTGTACATTTGGGAGAATAACTTATTTGATACAAATCAAATATTTGCTTAATTATTTTAATTTAGTTCATTTGTTGTCATTTTTACTGTGTCACTTCTTTTGACCATCAGTGTTTATTTTTATCTCATATTTTATAAGTCATGCATTTTATGCTCCTGCCCCTCTTCCCATATCTAAAGACAGTTTAGACATAAATAATAGCATGGAATGTTTAGATAAAGTTAACACGAGGGGCTGGTAATGTTTCTGAATTTCATAGTTCATAGGCAAATATACACATTCCAGAATAATCCTGCAGGATCCAATCTGAGCCTGTCACCGGCATCAGAGGTTGAATCTTCTGACCTTTTGCTGGAGTCCATCTTCAGGGAACTTCTCTCTACCAGAAGGTGTCACATGTCTACATGAATATGTCCACACATTCTGATAGAGGAGTTCCTTGAAGATGCATGAGTCTGAAGTCTAGACCTCTGGTCCAGTTGTTCCACTCAGATTGGATAGTTTTTTAAACATCCAAATCATGCAACCCTAATCCAGCCTTCTCCAATATAGAACATTAATGACATTTGAACTACATCCCTGGCTGGGCTGGTGGGAATCCAGAGAGAGAGAGTGTCTTGATTTGAAGGTGTTAGGTGTGGCCAGGTTAATCTGAGTTGAATACCCAGCTTTTCTTAAGAGAAGTCATTTCTTTTGCAGGTTGTGAAGACTTCTTATGGAAAATCATTTTTCCTGACCATATCTGCTCTATTCGTCACCCCAAGAACTGCTGGTGCCCGTGTGGAATTGAGCGAGCAGCAAATGCTTCTATGGCCCGGAGATGTGGATGTGCTACAGCCAGCAGTCAGCCTCCCAAAAGGCAGCCGAGCCCACATCACTCTGGGTTGTGCCAGTGGGGTAGAAGCTGTCCAAACTGGCCTTGACCTCCTTGAATTTGCAAAACTGGAAAAGGCAGGGAACAAAGGCGAGGAGGTTGGGGAGATTGGTGGTGGAAAACTTTTGTCCTTTGGGAATGGAATGTGGATGCTTTCGCTTTCAAAAAAGATTGAGGTGAGAGCTATCTTTGGTGGCTACTATGGAAAGGGAAAACTGGTGCCAACTCAAGGAGGTAGCAAACGGGGATCACCCTTTAATTCCTGTATCATCATCTAAGGGCTCTCGTGATGTCTGCAGTCTTGTTTTCACATGGAATAATATGTAACCTTTTATAAACTCTTCCCCATCACAACACAAATATAGCATCCTACAACTAAAGCAATTTCTTAATTCTAGTGATGCCCTTTTTAAAGAAATATTTCTTGACTTTCAGAGGCCTGGATTCCTCAGATGGAAAACAGCACTTTTTTATACCTTTAAAATTAATACAACTGAATATATTCCAGCCTTTTGAGGTTTCCTTTTCTTAATATAGAGCCTTTACAAGTTTGCCAGAACTGGGTCTGTTCCTGTGCTGTAAATCTACCTGGTCCTTTACAGCAACATTACTGTTACAGCAGGAGAAGGGAGCTGATTGTACCACTTCAGAGCAGAGGGAAAGCATAAGGGGCAAATAGAACCAACTTTTCTCAATGATTCTTCACATAAAAATTCCCTAAGAGTAGAAAATGAATACTATAGGTAACCATAAAGACAGAACTTTACACCAGTGGTCCTCAACCTTCCCAATGCCGTGACCCTTTAATACAGTTCCTCATGTTGGGGTGACCCCCAACTATAAAATTGGTGTCTTGGTTCCTAAGACCATTGGAAATATGTTTTCTGATAGTCTTAGGCGACCCCTGTGAAAGGGTCGTTTGACCCTCAAAGGGGTCCCGTCCCACAGGTTGAGAACCACGGCTTTACGCAGTTCTATTTTCAGCAAAAGTATTGGGAAGGGGATATTTGAAAGTGCGTGACCCCCCCTCTTTTGTATCCTCACATAATCTTTTCATTTGAATTCAAATTCAGGGTAGACTTAGAAAGTTTGGATCAATTATACCTCTGACCGTAGTCTGAAAACACCATAACAAAGTGAATATGATGTTGCAAAATATTAGACTTAAAATGTTCAGACTCACTTCCCAAGTTAACTACAGAGTAGCTAGTTGGATTCAAGGAATCTCAGTTGAGATTCAGAATCAAGGGTGGCCATCTGTAATCAATCTCAGCTTGATGTGAAGGGAAACATGTTACCTTTCTGGTTTGCGGTTGAATAGTCAAAGGATTTGCTTCTAAAATGAAGAATAAGTCCTCATTGTTTTGGTTGAGCATACTAAGATCTTGCTAGTTAGTATTCCTAAGCAAGTACCAGCTGTCTTTTCCCAGATTTTTTTTTAATGGGAAGTGTGAAGCCTCCCCCGCCTTGCAATTTTATGAGTTTTTGAAACATATGTCAAGCATTAACAGAGGCCCATGCTTTAATGAAAAGATCTTGTTAATGTGCAACTCATGGTTTCATAATGTCTTAGTCTTGTGCCAGTCTGTGATGTTGCTATTGTATAGGTTATAGCTCATTGAATGCTGGCACATTAAATACTGTTGCTGCAGCCCTTCTAGCATTGTCTCTTGTACAGACCTTTAAGGGATTTATATTTTTCTTATCTATCATCTTAGTTCTGAAGTATGGGTGTCTACTAACAGGAATGTAAAACTAGAGAATAGGAATCTGCCTTGCAGTCTCTTAGTTTGTTGTCCTTCCTGTCTTATATTGTTTTAAATGACAGGCATTAGATTTTCAGTAGAGATTTTTATATGTTGTCTGATTAAGATATCAATAAATTACATTTCAACCATTGCCCATGAAAATCAGGGACTAAGACTGCCCTGTACTTTCAGATCATTTTTTTAAATAAGGATATTTGAACTGGTGCATTATCCAAGAGTAAAATTAGTTATATTAGTTATATAGACTGGATCTGAATTTGCTGCAATTGAATCAAATGATAAGAGTTGCCCAAAGTATTGTATCTAAGAAAAATATTTGGTTATAGAGGGAGACACAAGTAAGGATGTATCTATGATTTTAATTGCATTGGATAAGTAATCCATCAGAGCTTCAAATTTTATGAAAACAGTGCAGTAAAATATGTATCAATGAACAAGTATTTTAGACAATAGATGGTGTGTTCAATGCTTTGATATACAGCTTTGTTTTCTGAAGAATATATTCATGGTGCCATCAAAATGCATATAAACTTAGAAGTAAATCCTTCAAAGTTCAAAGAGGTATATTCTAAGGTAAATATACAAATTCCCTAACTCTTTATTTATATATACTGATTCTAACTTCTATCAACCTTAGCCAGCATCACTGTTGCCCCTGCTGTCAGACTGTTGTGAAAGTTGAAGTTCAAAGCACCCAGTACTTAAAACTACGCAACATTTCAAAGCATACTTCAAGGAAGAAACTAACATTTTAAAACTTACAATTTATGTGTTTTTTATTTTATAACATATTTATATGCAGTATGGCATGAGTTAAACTGCTAAAAATAAGGAGAAGCCGAACATGTTCTAATTTCAGTTGAACCACATCCTATTGAGTGGCATATATTTTGTGTACACAACTGATTTAAGTTCCCCCAAGTAAGTCTAGTTAAACACATAGCCAACTTACTTTCCTTTGAGTAGGAGCTGTATAAACAGTATGTTAGCAACCAAAGTGTTGTCTAGATTATAGCTATCTTTCACACCATCTATTTGCAAAGCTGGGCAATAGATACCTGAACTAATCCCCACTTTTGAGTTGGTTTATTCGTAACATTATGGTTAGTCCTTCCCTTTAACACACAGAATTTAATCTCACTGAACATGACCCTTGTTTTGAGAAAAAATATCCAAGGCCAGCTTTTGCAAATCTGATGTCCTTCAATTAGGTTGAATGACAGTGTTGTTCATTCATAATCAATTATCTTCATTGTGAATGATTTTAAGCCAGGTTAATTTGGGACTATAGGTAATCAAACATATGACAAGAACATTGGACTAGGGCAGATTTTTTTAAACCATCAATGTGAATACAATGACAATAATAGTTGTCCTATGTAATTCCTGGTTATGCTTTTGATATGCTCACATTCAATATGCTCTAGATGGGAGCTAGTTTAAAATGGGAGCTGGTTAACCTATTATACATTGAAAGCTATGAAATAAGTTACAAAACATACATCACTTGAAACTTAGAATTATAAACATCCAATATATAAAGTAAGATAGGTGAATGGTTGGGTCATTTACTTTTCTTGAATGCTTAGCTATACAAGAAAAAGCTGGTTGTGCTATTGCTCAGGAAACAATATAACTTGCATTTGCAAAATATTTGTGTCATTTCTTAAATATTTGTTGTTTAAACATCAAATTACTGTTAATACAACTCAAATATGGTCAAAGCTTTTTAAAAAAACCTGTAAGAAAGAAGCACATTTCAATGGTTTTGATTGATGTAACTTGAAACAATAATTCTTGTTCTGCTTTACAAAATACTTAAGATTCATAGTGACTGTAAAATACACTGAAATAAATTTATTAACATGCAGAAAACATTTGTGTTGATATTTACATTAGACTGATTGATATGGAACTCTTTACTCAAGCCTTTGCTAATCTGAAGTTTCAGATTATATGCAGAGAAGAGATTGGGCTTTTTCATAGGTCTATAGGTTAAGGACTGAAATTGGGTACAGATGTTAACTGTAGTTTACCACCAGTCATTTCGTCTTATGAAAGATGCTCATGGATGCTGCTCTGGAAGTGCTCCATGAGTCTCCAGGTGACCCCAAAGCGAAACAGCCATGCACAGGAAAAGAGCCAGAGCACTTCTAAAGCAGCTATAGGAGGCAAGAAAAATGCATGGCTCCTTTAAGGATTCCAAGATAAATATTCAAATACAGATCTGTGCTTTGTGAAGCACTTAAAAAAAAAAAAGAAATTGAACAGTCCTAGTACATGATGGAAATCTGTGGTTCTCTTCCCAGTTTTAACATTGGTAGTCTTCCTGTCTACTTCTCTTGTTATCAAAAAACAAACAAGCTACAATTTAACACCGACTGCCACAGATTTTTGGATTTCTCCCCTCCCAATTATTCAATCTAGCATCATGCCTCCACACTCACAGTCTCAGCAGTGTCTACTCAATTCAAAGAAGCATAAGTCACCAGTGAGATCTGGAGTGTTTATTTTTTGTACATCATATACATTTTATAATAAAGTTAATAGCAATTGGGTGTGCTTCAGTCTGGTTCAAAATTCTGCATATAAACACATTATGAATCCTGCTTAATGAACAGTCACCACTTTTTGTTTAAATAATCTTCACCTTAGATACTGTAAGTGAAAAGATTGAAGTGGGGCACTATGGCTATCCATGTGTCTGAAACTATCCACAGGAGAGAGTAAAGGGAACAGGATGCTGTTTTAAAAACAGAACATGCAACAGATGTATTATTAAGAAGTCTAAAATGGTATGCTATCAATTCCTTGCCAAACAGCCTTTCTTTAGGTGGCTTGAACCTGAAGTTTACCTGTCTGGTCTACCTGTCCTCTGCTCAGGCATTCCTTGCAAATGTAACTGTACAGCAAAGAGGACACTGCATGCAAGAACACTTGTTCAAGTGTACAGGAAAATAGGCAAAAATGGCAAGTTTCCCTAAAATATGCTGCTTTTTGATCTACATCACCAAAGAAATTGTCTCATGCATCACTTCATGAGAAAAGTCTTGGCTCTTAGTTCTCTGCTTAGAGATTTTGTGTACACATATGATGGGAGAAAGTGGTACTTTTAAGTGGTTAAGTGATATTATTTAAGATTGCCAGCAATATATGCCTTCCTCTATGGCAAGCTAACTAGCAGTAAAAAGAATGTTTGAGACCCTCTCTATACCTATTCTTTATTCTCAGGGAGTTTCCATAAGGATAATACCAAAAAGGTTAATGTCTCATTTCACCTTGTTATGATCACTGCAACATTCTGACAATGTATATCTTTACAGGTACACTCCAAGCCTCAGACAGATAATTAATTAATTCTTTGCTTATCCGTCACACATAGTTTTTGGTACCTCTTAAAGATAGCTTGGCTAATTTAAAAAAATATTGAGAGTTAAGAAACAAATTCAAATTATAAAATGATTGTTACTAGGGTGGAGAATTTCAAAAACATGTTATACATGGCCTAATATATAATGCAAGCGTATCAGAACATCTTTAATGACTGCAATGAGAAGAATGGTAGATAATAAAAAAGGTAGAAAGGCAAAGTAATACAGCATTCATCACTTTTTAGGTTGCAATCAGTTTTAAGGTCCAGGAACCTTTTATCATTGACTTTTGGAACTGATAAAAAAAATCTTACTACTACTCCCAGCTGTGTAGAGATGATCAGAAAACCTGGCTGCCATCCACTGAAACTCTTAATATTCTTATAATCCTCTGTGAAGTTTCAAAATTAAATTATTGCAAAGAGCCAGAATATCTTAAAAGTAGAAAATTCACAGGATGCCAGGATTGATTCTTGACACCTCAGTCTCTGAAGATAACATGCTGTTGTTTTAACTTCTTTCAACCTAAAGTGATGAAGAGGGAGATGGTTGATTTCATAGCTTTTTGTGCCAGTTTCTGAATTACCCTGTTTGTCATTACCTTTAATAGAGAATGGACACAACACAATTCCACCAAATAACTTTTAAATATATGCCTTCAACCAAATACAATAAATTCTACCAATAGAAATTGACTGCCCAATAAAATCCTGAACTATTCAATATTTACTATTTGTTGGCCAAGAATAGGCATGCAATCTTGGCTGAGGCAAACTCTTGAGTTTATTCTCTTCCCGCTTTAGTTTCTCATTTAATCCCTGGACATCACGCAATAGACTGAATTTCTTTAACCATTTTTTGAGTACCTCAATTTGGGAACTATAAAAGAAAATGATGCAGACAAAGTCTAACTTACTGCTAGTCTAAAGTTTATCAGAACCCATTAACTGAGTATCTTGAAAAATAGAGGATTATTCCTAGGACATAATCTGGGCCTCTTTTGAAACAATGTTTCATATTGGATCAATATCTTAACATTTCATTGAACAGAAGTCCAGCACAAGAATAGTTTTAAAATGATTACATTTTTTGAGGTTCTTTGTTAACTTTTCCCCTGGTCTCATAAATAGAAAAGTTGCTAAAACCTATTTGTAATGCAAATGCCACGCCTTTGTTATGTTGAACAATTTCATTCATTGGAATATTGATCTTCCAGGCTAATCTTCCCCAATTTGATTTCCCTAGATGTACTGAGATTTCAGCTTCCCTCATATCCCAGAGAGTGTGGTCTGAATTGAGGAAAACTAAGGGAGTCTATAAGGAGAATTTTCACCATAAAATGGTGAAAACTGCACCTAGTATATAAAGTGGTTCAACAGGAAAATTGTTAGAGATGATAGTCTACTGATGATTTTTACTATTGTGGAAAAAGGAATGAGCTAATTGTCCATAGCAGAAATGATATTATAGATTACTGTCAATATGGGGCTAATATTGAGCAAAACTTTAAAAAATAACATGAACTTCAATGTGGCTGGTTACTAATAAGGGTTCTTTCCCCTGAAATAATGCTGAATTTCTTCTTTTAAACTTTCAACACATTGTTAAATTCTGAAAAATCTTCTCAACATCAAAAATGCTTTTTGAGATTTCAATTAATTTTAAGAGATTCCAACACTTAAGAGTGGACTTGTACATGCAAGAACCATGACATCACATGTTGAGGTGGAAATTTGAAATATGCACTGTAGATCTAACAACACACACACACATACACACAAACGCATATACCCTTCATAACACCTGACAATCACCTCAGAGTTTATGAGCTTTTTAATGAAATCAAGTGTATATGTTGATCTGGAAGCCACCATCAAAATGGGATGTCCATGTAAGAAATCAGCCCTTACCATTTTCCTGAAGTACTCAAGCAATTGGAAACATAAAGTGTTCCTCAAAGAAAGAGACTCTGGGAATATTAAGAGAAAGTGCTGAGAAGAGGCAACTCTTATTCCAAAAATGACTCAGGGAATAATTCAGTAAAACTTCTTTGTATTTCTCAAGTGTCTGAAATGTTTCTGGAAATAAGGTTTCAATATGGCTACAGTCAGTACAATACAACCAAAGTAAAAAAAACCTCATTTCACTTTCCCCACATTGTGAACCCAATAAAGGCATGGCATATCCAGTTTTCAAAATGTAAGGATTCCCTGAATGAAGTCCCAGCAGCTTAGGAATCTAAAATTACTTAATGGAGAAATCCACAGATTTTTCTCCCTTTCTCTCGCTTTCATATAAAATTAACAAGCTTCCCTTCAAATGCTGGTTTTCTCATCACACTCTAAAGCACACACAAAAAATTGATGTTTCCAACAGAAAAAATGCCACAGCCCTAAGAAATGCTGAGATGCAATGAAGGGAAGATGAAACTTGAAATTAAAAGAAGCAGGTCAGGGAAACTGTGGATTTCAGTAGATGAAATGGACCTGTTCCGTAGTTTAGCCAAACTGGAAAAAGAAATTCCCAGGTCCAGAAGCTGAAAGACATAGATATACAGATTAGCAAATTAGGAAGCAAAGCATCAAAACAATTGTTGCAATATTGAGATCTTTTAAATAAAGTCAGATTCTGTAGCCCACTCAGAAAAAGCATGAAATATAACATACAATTTATCATTATTATGGGAACAGATGCGTTTTTGGAGTGACTGGCAAGGAGAGGAAGTAAGGTTTCTTAGCAAATCAAACCTTGATTAAACAAACAAATCCACAACTGATATCGTGCATATAAAACCCCCAATCTCTTGGCCATCTGCAAAGGGGTCAAACTTGGCTCTGTGAGGGCCCACTCCCCATCTTGTCAGAACCACTGTTAAATAGTACTTTAGGATTTTTATCCTTTTGATGTTTAATTGTCATTAGTCTATAATTTAACAAATTTTAAACCTAATTTAATGCTATTTTTTATATATTGTTTTATTTATTCATATTACATTGCACAGCAATAGCAATAGTACTTAGACTTATATACCGCTTCACAGTGCTTTATAGCCCTTTCTAAGCGGTTTAGAGTCAGTGTACTTCTCCCAACAATCTAAGAGCCCCTCTCTGAGGGAGATTGATGTTTAGAAATAATACACAAAACATAAGCTTTGGGCACAGCACACAAAGCCCTAAAGCATATTTCTTGGTTTTAGTGGGATCTGAAGAGTGAAATATTTTATGGTCCCCTGTGGGAACTATGTTTTGTATGAATGAAACAGCCTCCACTGAATTCCTGAGACCAGAACTTAATAGGTTCCCTAGTTGTCCCAAAATGAAGGATCAAGAGACATTGCCTCAATTGACACCTACAGACATTCAAAAGCAGGACCTCCTTCTTTTCAATATACATATGATGTGTAAAAGATGACCCACCTTCAAAACTAAAACTTCCAGGTGTTCCAAAGAAAGCTTTGAAGATATTATTAGCATCAAAATCTATTGAGAAGTATAGGTGAAGAAAAGAAAAAAAGCAGGTGAGAAGGAATTCTTGTTTAAATTTACATTTACAGTCATAAAAGTTCTGAAAAGCTTCTATAATATTTTGCAGCATTCATTTTCTTTTTTCTCATGTTTGCCTTGCCATCAATCTCCAAATCTTCTGATTATGCTATTGAACATTAAATGAATAATCACATTCAATTTTGCATAATTTTCATCAGAAAAAAATGTAGAATACTTCTCTCAAAACTTCTGAATATGCTGACCTTCCTTGTTCCCATTCCCTAACTATGCACCTAAGCACTTTAAGGGTCACTAATTCAAAACCCTCTTTATCACTCACCTCCCATATTCATGCCATCTTCCTCTAGATCCTGGCCACTGTCATAGCGGGCCTTTTTCTTTGGATCAGAGAGAATGGTAAAGGCTTCACCAACTTCTTTGAATTTCTTTTCTTCCTCTTTTTGGATTTCAGCACTTGCTCCACTATGCCGATCTGCCAGAAAAATTAAGATGTGGGGTTGATAGATGAGACAGTGAGAGACAGAGGAAAAAAGTCTAACTGAAATGAGACAGAATAATTGGTTGTAATAACTAGGTGGAAAAAAAGCTGTTTATCAAAGTGATACAAATTTAGTATAAAGAGAAACTTAATTTACTAGTTTATTAAGTACTAGTTTATTAAGTACTTTAGCAGATTTGTGTTACTAGATTTTTCTCCTGCCTTTCTACTTAACTAATTACTCAGGGAAAATATGTTAAAAACAAGGCCTTTTCTGAGTCACTTTTCATGTGGATCTGAACAACCAAACAGTTTTGCAATGGAAATGATGATTCTTCAAGTAGTTAGACTTTAAGCTATTTAGAACTTTCAAGATTAATACCAAGGAATCAAATTGTTTCCTACAAAGCCATTGGTAATTAGTGTCAATATTTTAGGGCAGGCAACATATGATCTGAAAATTATTTATTGCACTTTCTAATCTATGTAGACACCAGTTAATTCCAACAAATATATGACATTTTTCTATGATCTCAAGCAGAGAATGTCAGCTTGCTATTGTAACTTGGAAGCAACAAAGATTAGTGGCGTACAGTTGTATGGTCGGAATTATAACAATTCTTCATAGTGTTATAAATGAAGAATTTGGAGAAAATGAAAAAAAACCCGTGCCATTATCAAGGAGGAAAAAAAATCAAGGGAATTGCAACTAGAGAGAAAGATCCCCCCCCCAAATCCCTAAGTAACAGGAACAAAGAATGATCTGTGGATTCTGAGAAATTAATGTATGCACTTGTACTGAACTCACCCACGAACCCTCTAGAACAGCTTTAGTTTGCATATCTCCACCCCCGAGTTTCAATATCCCATTTTTCCTCTTACTGTGTTTATTTTTCATGGCCAGGAATAATGAATATAAACAAATTCCCAATTAGCTAATGAGTAATAGTAGGAATAAAACAGTGGAGAATTTGGGATTGGTGGCAGGATTCCACAGCTATAAGAGGAAAGTGAACAATTCCAGGTGCTGAGTGGAAATGGAAAACTTCAATCTTGTAGCTTCAGAGAACATAGTGAAAATTGTGTTTCAGCATAAGTGACAGGGAAGTGCATGGTAGGGTCTTATAGGTATTTTCCTTCAAAGCCAGATGAAGGAGAGAAAAAAGAGTAGGAGAAAAGCCTATAGCCTCACAGTGTTTTTGCTCTTTTTCCATCATATCACATCATTTAGCAACTAAATTTCAGCTCTATTATCTTTCATAATGTTATTCCATAACTGAAACTTGCTCAATTTGTTATACATTGATAGGAGCTTTTGATCCTCTGATGAGGTAAATGTTTTTTAGCAGAAGCCATACTGATTTAGTCCCAGTAATGCTTGTTTTTCTTTTTAACAATTCTATTGGCAATATCATTTTCTACTCTGGAGCAAGTCAAGGTTACAATCCTATACATGTAATCCTTGAGTTACTAATGTAACAGAGCCTGTCAATTACATTCATAACCTGAGGATTTGTTAATTGGATCATGTTAAATGAACATGATCCCTGCCTGCTTTATCCAATGCATTTGATAATCAAACGCACAGGTCATTAACTGCAAATGAGGTATCTCAGGGTACTTTGGGGAAGGCCTAGTGCTTCCGACCACCCAAGGCCTCTCCTAACCCACTGAGATATCTCATGTTTCTCCCCCCCCCTCTCCCCCATCCTGCTCCGCTGTGTCTGACTAGCACTGGGCCTCTGGAGAATCACTTACCTTTAGAAGATCTCGATGATCAAGCCTCTCCAGCCTCTCCGCTGTGGTTTCTTCCTCTGCTCCTGGGCGCTCCAAAAGTGGAGTGGTGAGAGCAGAGGCAGAGTGGGACCAGTCCACCTTGCTCAGCTTGGCTGACTCACAAAGGCTGCCTGCATAGGACACCCTGTCCACTTTTGGAGTGCCAGGCAGCCTCGGTGAGTTTGAAGGAGCCTTGAGGAAAGGGGAGGGAGGCCTGTGTGGGTGCAATCTCATGCCCCTAAAGGCTTCCATCCTCTTTGCAAAAACCTTTTGGCATGAAGAGCGGAGGCTGCCTGTGCAGGCCTGCATTCTTCATGTGAAAAGATTTTTGGAAAGAGGACAGAAACCTTTGGGGGCACGATTTAGCATCCCTGCAGGCTTCTATCCCCTCTGCTCAAAGCTTTTGTCACAGAGAAAGGAGGCCTGCAGGGGAGCTATCTTGCAGGCCTCTGTTCTCCACATCAAAAGTATTTTGCAAAGAAGACAGCAGGTGAATAAGATGGCTGCTTTTCTGCCACATGGCCCTGACTCTGCAGATCTTTGAAAGGTAAGTTACAGGATTGTGTGTGCTTGTATGTGGGGGGGAGGGAATAGGCAAGGGGAATGTTGCCACATCTCTGCGGTCAATCATAAGGGTGAATGACTGTTGTGGAGCTGCAACGTTCGTAAGTTTGGTACTGTATTGTAAGTATTTGGGGGTGGATGTTGTAACTCTGAACCATCGCTAAGTGAACTGTCGTAACTTGAGAACTACCTGTAGTTTCCTACATCCTTTGGAACTTTTATAGCTTTTTGGTCTGAAAGTTTATTGTAATATTATATTTTTGTGAAAATATTAGGAATTTTATATTTGACTTCTTTAAATGTGCTTGGATAAATGCCATGCAGTAATAAGGGGATGGTGCAGAACCATGTGTTTTACAGTGTATTGTGCATAACTGTGTTGAGAGAATTGTAGAGGATGACAATGGAGCAATTATTCCATTTTAAATAGAACTGTAAAAATTGAAATTGCATCATGCCACTTTCTAAACAAGAAAAGAAAAACAATCTTCTTCAGTACTTTAGAATATTCTCCTCTTGCTCCTATTGAAAGGACTCATGGCTGAGCACCCTCGGTTCCAGAGAAGTTGGAACTCTACAACTTAAGTCAGAAGGAAAAGAAAAAGGAGTCCTCAAGTCACTTATTCTGTCTTCTTGACCTTTACTGTAACAGTATCAAACTGGCTGGTGAAAAAAAAAACTCATACCAATGCATATTTTCGAATATTACCATTTTACCAGTTAAGCTCCTAGCACAATGATACTCACAATTCCTGTAATGGCTCAAAAATCGAGCAATATTGTCTTCTGAGACACCTATATTCTCATCCCACCTTTGTTCACCCAATCAAAGCTAGGGCATTGTTAAAAAGGGGGAGAGGAAGCTCTCACACTAAACAAACAAGACAACAGAGGAGCCTTAGTAAGATACCTTACATTATCAAATATATTCCCTTCATGACATTCTAGTCCCCTCAGTTGGAGAAGCTTTGAAGCGTTAACAGTGGAACTGGGGCAATAGGTCTTGTGGATTTTTTGTACCTGGGTGATGCATTAGGGCCCGTTTCCGGTATGCCTTTTTTATTTCATCTTCAGAGGCATTCTTATCCACACCCAGGATCTTGTAATAATCTTTCCTTTTACTCTTTTTCAATTCCACCTGTGAGTTCTTGAGTAGCTGTTTGTGTTCTATAATATATCAGAGGGAAAACTTTTTAGCAAGAACAAATTACATAACAAAATGCATTTCTCCTCCAAGCAGGCTAAATAAGAGGAAATTCAGGACTAATAAAGTACATATTGAGGCAATATACAATACATAAGATTTGCTGTCATTAGATAAGATGATGGCTCCAAAATTAGTTTATTTTTAAAAGTGAATAAATTAATTGTAGATAAAGCTATCAACAGCTGTTTGTCTAGAATCTAATCACATACTATTAAAAATCTCCTATTTGTCTATTTGTAATCTTTAATTGACTGACTGTGCATCATAGGGTAATCATTTTAGAATCAACGTACCTCAAATGGGTTAACTTAAAGAATGTGTCCAAAACCTGAGATCTATAATTCCAGTAGAACTGAAACTTGGCTGCCACAGTCATGTGATCATCATTGGGGAAGCTGGCAGAAAGTTGGAAATCCAAGTTGGCTGCCAAGTAGGTAAGTGGCTGCTACTGGATGAGGAAGCGAATAAGGGAGTCCAAAGGAATGGTGTGTGTGTGTGTGTTGGTGTGTGTGCATGTACGAGAACGTGAGCGCACACAGGTGATGTGGCGAGGATTAGGAAAGGTGCATGGGGTGTGAGACAATATGAGGAAGGCATGGATAGGGCCAGGGAGGGTGTACACAGAAGTGGGCAAGTGGTAAATAAGTATGTATCTCTGAAAGGATGACCCAATAGAGCTACTATGTTTTAAATTATACCAATGAGGTATAATTGCTATAATCCAGGTTGTAAAATGGCCTTAGGCATGGAGGCCTGTGCAACTGCTCTCGTTCAGACAAACCTACCTCATAGAGCTGTTGCTGGGGGAAAAAACAGGAGCGGGCACTATGCATGCTGACTTGAGCTCTTAAGTGAAAAATTGTGATATAAATCAAATAAAATTGTCTGAAAATAATAGTTAAGATCGATTTTCAGCAATATTGAGCTAGTATACCTATCATCCCTAGTCACTATAAAAGAAGTTGTAGCCTGGATTATCCAATAAATATTAGAAAAGGCCAGTCAAGTCCAGAAGCAAATGCTCTATGTTTACCTTTAGTTTTCTCTGTCTGGTAAACTTTTTCATAATCTCTCACAGCATCTTCATACTGCTCTGTGTCCATGTAACTAGGCAGAAGTATAATTAACCTTATAAATCTCAAAACAAGCTACAAATTACATCAGATTAAGTGAGAAAAAAAAATCAGAAAATGACTTGAGCTAAAGGGAATGAAAAATCACTCCTATGAGCAATATCTACGTTCCTACCAAGTCGGAGAGAAAGTACTGTATAGAAAAGTGATTTACAGAAAATCAAATTTGATATGATGAGCAACATGACCTGATTTCTAGACTACCTGAATAGTACTGCAGAGTATGCAGCTGAATCTAGCAATTCATGGAATAGTTTTTGATCTGGTACATTTTAACACCAATTACCTTGTAATGAGATCTGAAGTGAACAGAAACAAGAATATAATTCTAAACTTCTCAAATGTAAAAATGAGAGAGCAGAAGTACATGGAGAAATTTTTCAAAAAGGAAAACATCAGCAACCACTTGCAAATATAAAGATCCTCTGCCCTGTCCCATTCTGTTTTTGTTGAAAGGATTAGCTGGTGACATTATAGGTAACATTATCCTCATTAAAGTATCCACTGAAGTAGTATCCAATTACCTACTCAAGATTACTCGTTTTCAAACTGCTAGGTTGGTAGCAGCTGGAGCGAATGAAGGACGCTCGTCCCCACTACACAGCAACACTTAGGTCTCGAACACAGGCTTGCTAATTGTTAACCCAGCATCCTAACAATGTGAGCCACCATGGTCCTCAATCCTCATATTTATGATCTCTGGAGGTCTGTATAGCTAAGGAAAGCTGAACATTAAACATTGCTTAATAACCAAATTGTTGGCCTCAGCTGAGGTCGCTAAATAAGGACTACCTTGATATTCTTCCCAAGTCAATCAATTCACTCAGCTAATATTAGATATCAGGATACCTCAAATCAAAAAATGAGCTGAATCTTCACTACTTCTTAAATTATTAGACCAGACTTCCCTAGCATTATTTGGAATTGTTCTTTCTAATGATAAATCTGCCTGCCACCATTTTTTGTTCAGTCTATTTAAAAAAAAAAAAAAACTAAATCAGGTTATTCTCCTGTCCTTCAAATTTAGATGCCCATTCTTACCACTGTGCTCTTCTTAGATAGGCCTTGATGTATGTGTCGTCCAGTTTGATAGCACTTGTACAGTCTCCTATTGCTTCACATAGTTTTCCAAGCTGGAAGGCAAACATCAAGATTAGGAACTAAACCCTTTGGCATTATTTTTAATCATTTAGTCATTTAGCCCTTCATGGTATTGGACCTGGGTACTTGAGAGACCGCCTGCTGCCAATTACCTCCACTAGACCGATTAGATCCCACAGATTAGGCCTCCTCCGAATTCCATCCGCTAGCCAGTGTCGACTGGCGACTACCCGGAGGAGAGCCTTCTCTGTGGCTGCTCCGACCCTCTGGAACGAACTCCCCGTGGAGATTCGAACCCTCACCACCCTCCAGGCCTTCCGCAAAGCCCTCAAAACCTGGCTGTTCCGACAGGCCTGGGGCTAAAGAGCTGTTGCCCCCGTCTCGAATGGTATGACTGTTGTGAATTTTAAATTATATATTGTTATGCTTGTTGTTTTTTAAATTTTTTGTCTGTATCCCCCTTCCCCGGTTCGAGTTGTGAGCCGCCCTGAGTCCCCTTCGGGGGGAAAGGGCGGCATATAAATACAATAAACTGAACTGAACTGAATTAAGAGTAGAAAACAATATGTTTCAACTTCAATCTTTATTTTCTTTGACAGGTTTCTAAGCAAATTTAGATCCTGGCTTTTTGATTCCTTATAATATACCTATTTAATATCATATTAATATTAAGATGATTATTGTTTAAGATTTAATCTTCAATTTGATTCATAGTCTGGAACTAGTAAAAACGTAAACAATTCAAGTCCTAACCAAGGACCTAAGAGTTATTAAGGTAATGTCTGAGTATATAAGCAGTCCTGAGTAAGGTGGTGGTTTTTTTTTTTTTTTTTTGCAAAGTCAGAATATTCAGGTCTGATAAGTTCAAAATTTCCATATATCTAGGCAACCCTTTGGGTATTGCTCCAAAGCCTCCTATTACTACTGGTTCAACCATTGATTTCTTCCTCCACAATTGCTCAACTTCAATTTGCAGATTGCGGTATTTTGTTATTTTTTTCTAACGGTTTCACTTCAATTCATGCATCATCTGGTACTGCCATATCATTGAACCAGGCTTTTTTCTCCCACAATAGTGATATAAGCCGTGTTGTGGGCCAGATGTCTGTCTGTTTGGATTCAAAAGTTCCATAAGATTTTGACCTGTTCATTTTCAAGAACTTCATCAACTTGGTGTTCCCAATAATTTTTGCAGCATTCGAACTCAAAGCTTCCAATGTATGATTTTGGCAATTCCATCATGACATTGTAGATAATCAGTTTGTGAGATTTTGCTGCAACTACTGATAAGTGATCCACTGCAATGAGCAACTATTTTTCTTGTTGCATAAGCAATGTTTGCTGTTGTTACTGACCTGTTGAGTTTTTGCTTTCATGGAATTGGTCTGCAGGGCTTGTTCTTGGGCAGCCAAAATGAAGCTTTCTGTTTCTTTCTTCAGCACCCCCAATCTCAATCATCTCCATGTTAGCTTTCTATCTACCTTTCCTTCAATGTCCTTCAGGTATTGATTATGCATAGACTTCTTTTTCCAGTTAGAAACTTAATGCTGATATTCTTATTTTCAAGAGATGTCCCTTGTTCTCCTTCAGAAGCTCTTTTGTTTTTATTTAGTCATTTAAGCCATGTTTTCCCTCTTCCACAGTTTGTTTCATCTGTAAAATTCTCTCCTACCCTGAGATTTAGGCAAGTACAATTGAACATATCACATTTTGGGTGCAGAACATCGTGCATTATCATTGGTTTTCTTGTGTTTCACTCCAACTTATCAAGTTCTAGCTGCATCCAACTAATTATTCCAGTTGAGTATCGTATGATAGGCACTGCCCAGATGTTAATTGCCTTTATGGTATTTGCTCCACTTACCTTTGATCTCATATTGTTTTTGCTTATATGAGCATTTTCCACTCTAGTCACCTTTACAGTGCTTTCAACCTGTTTTATCCACTTTGCATTCCCATTCATTGTGCTTCTTCTTGTTTTCTCACAAGTTCTTCCAAAATATCAGGGTATTTTCTTTGTTCTTCTTCACGGTTTCCTTGTCTCAAATTACTTAAATCCAATCAATTTCTCTTTATTTTTAACTCCAAAAGGATTTTCAACTTTGGCTTTCCCTTAATTGGTATATTGTTTTCAATTTTCAAGCCTTATTCTTTAGTAGCAACATAAACTGCTGCACACATTAGCTGTTTGATCTAGTGTTTCTGTTTGAATAATCTGTGCAGCTTCATTCCCATTCTTCAATAATTTAGCCAAATTTCTTTTACTAACTTGATTCAGTTTTGGTAATCAAATTCTTTCCATGTTTTCTATCTGAATCTTTATTTTCTTTGCTAGTTCAGCTCTGGCTGTTGGTTCTTCAAGAACGAATCCAGCTCTTGCTTCTTGTTTCTCATCTACTTCTCTGATTTCTTTCCTTTTCTCCACTTATTGCTCCACATCTAAATTATCTCTATTATCAGTTACACTTGAGTCTTGATCTTGTGCTGTTGTTGTTGTTATTATTATTATTATCAATTCAATTCACAGTCTGGGTAAATGAACCAGACTTTTTTCTTTTCCATAATAATGGTGTCAGGTACGTTATGGGCCAGATTTCAACAGCTATAATATTTTTCCTGCTGTTTCCAGTACTGCAGAAATGAACAACTAAATGCGTTAAGCACTCGATAATTTTTGGAAGCTTCAAAATGCAAGAGACAAAAAAAGATAATGTCTTCTAATTATGCTTAGTGGTTTTCTTTCTAACCTTGGATGTTTGTAGAATGACTCTTTGATTTTATTCTTATTTCATCAGTTCAGTTAATCTCCACAAAAAAAAATTCAGGTTTTTAAAAATACTGCTTACTTAATTCAAAAAGAATACACTGTGATACTCAATTTCAGTATCACACAACAGCAGCTGAGTTAAAAATTAAAGAGACCTTATCTCCACCCTCCATGTTTATTAGTAATCAAATTGCTTTTGAGACAAACCCAAATCACTCAGGTACAGTACCTGTAAATCTAGAGTTCAGCTAGAACAAATGCTACTTGCACCACCATGGTTCAACTCTTTGACATACAGTAAGATTTGTAAGGATTTAAATAAACAAGCAGACAGACATAGAGGCATTGCTATTCTGAACAATTTCTCATCTTTGTTATTTCAGGTTTCAATGGTAAGAAGACTTTTTCCAATCTGGCCTTCCTGATCTTTTACAATTGAAGCTTAAAAGATTCTTCAAGCCCTTTTCTATTACACATTGCAATAAGGAGACAGATTTGAGATGTCTCCCACATTTAAAACTGTGTTAGAAGGCTTCAGAGAGATACCTGATCTAAACAAAAAAGACTCTACTTGGGCACTTACTTTAGAATTAACAGTTCCACGATTGCAGTAGAGTTTGGCATTGGTTTTCCTGTTGTTTGGATCTATTGCTAGAGCCTCTGTATAAAGTGTGAAGGCCAGCTTATAATTCCCTTCCTTGAAAGCCTTGTTACCTTCATCTTTCTTTGCTTTCAGTGCTTTGGCATTCTGAAGGAAGAAGTGGGTCAAAAGATAATGAAAGTCTTTGAGTAATTAAAAAAACCTTGGGTTGACTTAGCAAATCTTTGTTGGCTAACTCACACAAAGATTTCTATTAAAGAATTACCCAATTCCCAATCTCAAGATCTAGCAAATGGAAATAAGTGTTTTGGGCACATCTCAATATATTGCCAAAGTTGCACAGAAGCAACTTTGAAAAAGCAATGAATAATGTTTGGAAGGAAAGAGATTATTATGCAGATGATAGGATTTCTTCTTCTCTATTCAGTTTGAAAATACTCAATTTAGCACCTGCTTTAGTAATGTAATAGCAAAAGCATATTTCTAGCTGCTACCTACCACCATCTATTTTCCTTTGAACATGGCATGAAGTTTAGCATTTCCAAAGTAATTCTTGGGACCCCTTTGGAAAAGTTCGAGTAAGTCAAGAGTTGAACCTCTGCATCTTTGAAGTATTTATTTAAAACATTTTTAGCAACTCCAGGATGCTGTAACTAGTAGCATCCTTTACCACTGGACGTTGGGGTTGTGTATCAGCAAGATCTGGAAAGCCACACCCACACCCAACCTGTCAAAAAGCCCATACACCTCCTCAGTATTTCTTTTGATGCTTACACGGCAGGCAAGGCAGGCTTTATCGTGGTCAGGAGCCATTTTTAATGCCTGGACGAAAAACTGTACAGCCTTCTCGATGCAGTCCTCATAGTAAAGGCAAAGTCCTCGGACATAGAGAGCATCAGCATTTGTTGAATCTATTCGCAAGATGTCACTAAATACAGAGCACAGGAGCAGGGCAAAAAATAAATAAATCACAGGACAGAAACAGAGTTGGGTTCATAGTTATTCTCAAACCAAGACACCAATACTATAAAGAACTGTGGCATAACAATATGTGAGTACTTCAAATAAATACATGATGTCTCACTTCTGTAGTTTCAGACAAGGACAGCATCCTTTCTAGCACTGTCTTTCCTTTTCTCTAATTCCTGACACTAACTCTTCCAACCCTTTTATTCTAGTGGACCATTCCCATTTCCATTCCAGCTCCCTTCTGTCAATTTCAAAACAAGTATACCCATATTTTTATTTATAATCACATTTGTATAGTTCCCATCTCGCATTATGACTTTGGGTTGGTGTACATATTATTTTTTTAAAAAACTCCTATTGCATTTATTTTGTTTCCTGTCGGGGCCCTTGTGGACACAAAGATACCTCTTTAGAACCAAAAATGCTTTGGTCAATTATGCACACTGGTGGGGAAGTTTTAGCTTCCAAGATTGTTCATTTTCATTAAACATCAATGTATCCAATTTGCTGTAAATTCTGAACCTGGCAGAATGGAATGATTAGAATAGTGAACTTGTTCAGGCAGGATTGAAGTTGTCCTCATCCTGTCTTTGTGGGTCTTCCGGTAGTTCAGCTTAACAGGAAAGGGTAAAAGAAGTTGATTTTATTTCTCAGTGCCTTTAACCATATCCTTGTTGATTCTCCTCAAATTATTTGAGGATCTTTCCATTACTTGATTTGATTTCCATTCCTTTCCTTTTCATAATACATTCCAGTTAGTAGTTTTAAAAGATCTTTTTTTTGCAAAAATGAACAAACCAAAAACACACAAACATATATTCCACTATAATTTAGAGAAATAAAAATTGGTTTCAGTGCCACTGTGTCTTCTCAATACTAGACAATGAAAAAGCAGAGCTCTAGTCTTTTTGTTAGAATCAGGAATATGAGCTATTGCCCTCAGAGTTAACTACATTATTATTTATACATATAGGCTTTCCCATCAAACCTGTTGTAGTTCTTACCTTATAACAGACTGGGCTTCAGAATAGCGACCTAGCAAAGCTAAACATTCTGCTTTGAGGATTTTGAACCGGTGACAGGCAGGGGCAAATTCTAGAGCACGATCCATACAAAAGACAACCTGGGGAATAGACACAAAAGAAGGACGGGGGGGGGGGAGAAACAAAACAGAACACAAAAACTCAAGATATTGGTTTGGCGGCAACCCTAAGCCCTCTGAAGATAGGCATGCAGCTTGAATAATCTGTTATAATTAGGAGTTCTGCTCTGAAACAAAATTCAGAATAGGCAATAGGCAAACAGTATCTTTCCCATTTAACTCATAATTTACAAAGCATATGGATAATTTTTGTATCTCTCAGCAGTGTTTGGTGTCAATAGCAATATGTTTGTTCAGAGGCAGCATACCCACACTGCTGGTTTCTATGGACAAGATTGACAAGGGAGGAACATATCAGCGTAAGTCTGAAATCTGATTTCATAGATTATAAAATAAGTACACATAGATAAAGGTCTTTTGGACAGGATCCATATCTCTTGCAAGTTAGCCTAACGTATTTGAAATTTTCAAATACCAAAACTTGGCCCCTCTCAAAAGTCTTATGAACCTTTTTATGAGGGTATGTAGAAAGGTTTAAGAAGCACAAATACCCCCTCCCCCTCAAGTAACTAAACTGCTACTAGTCTGTGATTAAGGCCATTCACATGTAACACCTGGTATCAAACTTTTCTAACTAAAAGCATTGGGAAATCTAACCCCAAAACACAGGTAAGGTGAGGCTATTCTGCAGGTCTGATTTCCAGAATTGGAGGAAAATTGTGGAAAATTGTATGAATGATGCCTTTCCAGTATGCAACAATAACTTCCCATCTATACATTACTCCTGAATGTCTTTATTTTGTAAGTGATGCTTAGTTGAAAATATGCATGTAGTCATTCCCAAAAGTACTTGCAGAAGAAGCACATGTTCTTTATTCATAGAAATTATTGGGTGAAACTTGTTCTGGGAGCAAAATAAACCTAAACCCAAATATGCCACAACCACAAAATGGGGGAGGGGGATTGTGAGTACTATCTAAAGATGCAAAACATGAATATGGACAGTACATCAGTGATGGCTAACCTTTTCCTGGCTCTGTGCCCAAAACGTGCACGCAAATGCATATGCATGCACCTGAACTCCCAAAATGCAATGTGCATGCTCCCTGTGTGCTGCCCCCCACATGCCCCCCACCTCCACATATGTGTGTGCAGGCCCCCACACCCATGCGTGGCAGATACCCGATGACCAACTGGCCAGCGGGAGGTGCACAGGCATGCGTGGCAGAGTTGAACTGAATGTTTATTCAGTGCCTTGTAATTACAGAAATTTTGATAAAAACTGAATTAGAAACTCAAGACGTTGAAAATAATAAAATAAAAGTGGCTTCAATGAAGCAGCAGCTATTATGACAAATGAAGAACTCAAATTTCAGGCCTCAGTACATGTTCTCATGGTCTGTCAGTTAGCTGCATATGAAGAGGGCATTGTTGGTTTGAGGCTCAGCTGGATTCTCAAATTCCCTTCCCCCAACTCTTCTCACAGGTGACATCACCACTGGGTGCTGTGGAAAGTGCCAGCGACACTCCAGATGATGGAGCCACAAAAAGGAGGAGCTTCTTCTCCAGAAACAAGGGACATATTTGATAGCGCATAAACGACAGAGAAGCCTAGATAGAGCTTGCTCAAATCTCAGACAAGGCAGATTTCTTCCTTAAGACAAACTTCAGATTGTCTCTGGTGAACCAGCTGCTCTTGGCAATTAGAAAGCAGCTAGTAAGAATTCACTAGGTCAGACAGAGGACTTAACATTGAAATAGTGGGACCAAACAACAATACCATCTTGCTGAAGAGCAATTAAGACAAATTTGTTACTCAAGAGAGACAAAAAAAAGGCAGAGAGGTTTGAAATACATGTGGTGGTGATGGGGAGAAATCAAACCTGTTTCCCATTCATGAAATGGCAGGATGAGATTTAGTAATTCTGAGAGCAAGAAAGGAACCTCATGACCCCAACTAAGCAAAATAGGTCCCCCCCCCCTCATTACACACACATACATAGACATCAATTAATCTTTATCACCTTTCGGAAGTCCCGTTTTTCAAAGTCAACTTCAGCAATTTTCTCATAGTCTAGAACAGCTTTGGCACTCTTCAGCTGGAACAGAAGGCATCATATCGGATTAGAAATATTAACAATTTGTAGTATATTAGGCATTCTGTTTATTTAACTACTGAATGAATTCCCAGGGTTCTCAATCAGCTATTAGCTGAGAGCAATTCTGAGAGCAATAGATGTATCTGATGGATAGCAACACTGGGGAGTTCAATGTAATGTTTTAAAGTTCATATTTATTTGAACTTCATAACTATACCTCTCTTTTGATGAACAATGTTTAATCATCGCACACCCCGACACCTGCCTCGCTGCCTTCTGCGGCCGCTTCTTCTGTGGCTGCTTGCTGCCACTCACACGTATCACTCTGGCCTCCATTTTGTCTTCAGATGCCTTCCGGCAGACATCTATAACAGAACTTTAGATTGATCCAGAGTTCTGTTTTCAGCTGCAAGATGTCTTCAGGCAAAACGGAGGCCAGGGCAATGAGTGCGAGTGGTGGCAAGTGGACACAGAAGAAATGGGCCAGCAGTGGGCTCCTGCTGGGCGGGGCCATTTGTGCCATCACCGTGAGGTAAGTCAATAATTAGAACCCTTAAAAAAAAAGGCCTAGCCATTTTTTCGGGGGTCAAAAGAAAATAAGACCCAGCCTTCTTTTTGGAGAAACATGATAATACATGCTAATACAAGATGCACACAGTCTTATACCCAAGATATCTTCAGGATGTATGTTATGATTAAGAATCAAGTCTCTAGCATACATGGTTTCTAATGTCATGAATATATTCAGGCAATATTTAAGATATGCTATAGCCCTTGCGGGCAGAATTTCTATCCTCTGTTATGCATACAGCTAGAAGGACTATAAGAATTATACTTCTCAACAAAGCAACTGTTTACATAAGTATTTACACCCACATTTAAAGGAGTCAGCATAATACAGCATGAGTCCTCAAACTGGGAGTTCTGACCTCTAGGATATCAAGAGCGATCTACAGGAGGCGGGATTTGTAACTATCAGACTAAGCCTGACAGATAAAGCGTAAGTGCTGCCAAAAGATTTCCACACTTCGTCTTAGTTACACTCACAATTGATTTGTAGAGATAAAAGGGGTAAAGTCTGGAGCAAGTTCTGAGACATGGCTAAAACTGAAGGTGTTTTTCATTGTCAAAACCATCCATTTGTAAAAGAACTGTGATTGAGCAACAGCTGTTGATTTTTAGGATTTAAATACATTCAGATAATTTCAAAATCCTGGTTAATATAATACACTAATTGTATTAACTGTGCACTTAAGGCAAATGGAGGAACAAATGCAACAATACACACCAGGAGGAATAATCTTCTATTTAATATCTCAAATGTTTTTGTGTCATGTACATATATTATGTACATTAATTTTTAATCATATATTGACAGAATCAAAATTGTATCATTTTAAGAAATGGTTTAAGGACAAGCATTGTTCCAATAAGAACATGAGGGGTTTTAAAGAAAATTCAGAAATTCCATATACAAAAAGAAAAGGAAGCTTTCTCACCAAACAAAGACTGGAAGAGATACAATGTTTCTTATTCTCACAGACTTATAGCCAGGACAAGGGACAAAATGTTTAATTCACTAATGTCCTGTGTATAACTGAAAACTGGAATAACTGTATACATTCAAATTGAAATTTAAAACTGAAATCTGGTGTTCAAAAGCAGTGTTAACTAAATTAATATTACCCAGTCTAACATATCTTGAGACTTTTATCAATCAAACACGGGCTGCTGAACTAGATCAATCACCCAAACCTCATATTTAATACCTTACCTCTTGCTCTGCTTGTGGATTTTCATGATCCAATTCTATAACTCGTTGGAAGCAGCGACTGGCAGCCATAGCATTCCCCAGAGATAGGTGGCACTTTCCCTCTCTTAGATGTCCCTGAGAAGATGAGAACATTATGAAAGCATGCCAGTATGATGAAGGATCAGGAGAACTACATATGTGAGTCACATACCCTCAGAAAGCTATCGTCCATTCTGACTGATTGCTGAGCATCCCCCAGGGCCTCCCGAAATCTGCCTAACATCATGAGAGTGGCAGCACGGTTTCCATAATAACTGGCATTGCTGGGACATGCATCTGAAAGATAAGAAGCAGAAAAAAAACTCACTTGCTCTGTATCATGCCTCTTTTTGAAGGCATTTTCAAAAAGAGAAAGCTACGTGCTATTCTGTAACATTTTAAACTCGTTCTCTCCACAAAGTATATTTTACTTTTTATTTAATATTAATAATGCTAGTAAAAAAATTATTTTGATATACAGAATAAACTGGCCAGTTTGCACAGATGTGCAAAGAGCATTTGTTTATGCCTTTGCTACAGAAAATATAAAGAATGCAAAGCAACTGTAGAAAGTTAGTACCCACCCCTCTCCTAGAAGAATGAAATATTTTGAGAAATATTAAAAAGGTAGAATATTATATTTCCCTAAAGGAGAAACATGATCTTGGAAAACAGTCCCCACCTTTAATAGCCCCAGCAGGATTGGGCCATCCTATCTACAAGACCAAAGACCTTAATTCTCAGGATGGTAGGATTAGCCCCCACTCAAGATCCAAACCAGGACAGAGCCATTAAGTCACAACAGGAATTACTCACAGAACACAAGCCTCTTCATTACATTATCATCTCCAAGTTTCAACCAAACCTGGGAGCTCAGACAACTTCAGCTATGATCTTGCATAGCCACATGGGAGTCTGACAGCAACCAATAGAATACATGCTCTTGCCACAAGAACAGGAAGCTCAATGGCAAAGCTCAAGAGAGGGTATAAATAACCCTCACCCTCCACTCCATGTGGTCAGCTGCACCAAGACCATGTGTTTGATGGTTCTGTTTCATTAAACTATCTTTCCAATCAGTTTCCATATTTCCAATCTTTCCCCATTTGGAACTGAACCAGATGGATATTTTTTCCAACACAACTAAAAGAGAAATAGGGCAATGGCTAACCACTATTTAACTCATGAAAGATCTACTTTGGTTTCTCAATCAAATATGCCAGGGTTATTTCCCCCAAGATTTTTCATAACTACAAAGAGTAGTATTTTGATATTAAGAAAGATCTCTATGTTTATAGTAGGCTGTTTATACACTGTGTTCTAGACCCAAACTGTATCTCTAGAACAGCCATAAATCAGAGAATATAACCAGAGGTGGGTTACTTCTGGTTCAGATTGGTTCAGGTGAACCGGTAGTGGTAATTGGGCCTGGGTCACGGAACCGGTAGTGAGGGCTGGCCGGCCACGCTCCAGAACTGGGCCACTCCAATGCTTGCTTTGTCTTTGCCACGTGCATCATAGCCTAGTCCCCCCCCCAAAACTGGCCAGCATCTCCCAAAGCTGCCAGCATTGCAGTCCCCCGCTCCACTTGAAACTCCAAGCGGCAAGCGGAGCAGCTAGAGTGAGCTCTCAGCACTTTTTCCACTGGCGGGGAAAAAATGATGATGGAATCTTCGTTCACCTTTCACCAGCTGCCTGGAGGTTCAAGCAGCCAGGGGTGGTGGTGGCGGGATTGGTGAGTTCCAAGGGTGGGTTTGCAAACAAGGTGCAAAACAGCTCTCAAAGAAAATGAAGTGGGTGTGGCGCACCCAGAGCAGCCGCTTCTTCACAACAGACGAGGATGGAAGAGGTGCCTGCTTCGTTCTCTGGCCCCTCTACTTCCCTCACTCAGCTGCTACCATCAGGGTGCTGCCAGGGCAAGTGGTGTGTGTGTGTGTGTGTTTGTATGTGTGTATAGGGAGGGGGACAGACTGTTCAGTGCTGAGGTAGTAGCTGGTGGGGGGACGCTAATGATCAGCGCCTTTGGATTCTCTGCCTGGTGTGTGCCAGACTGACCAATCACGTCACCTTCTCAACCTTGGGAACCTTCGGTGCCGGCTGCAGCTGCCCACTCCTCCCAGCTGGCAAAACAGAAATTTTTGCTGGTTCAGTAGATGTGGCTAGGTGGGGGGGGGGCATGTGACTGAGTGGGCATGGGTGATGTCAAGTTGGCCATGCTCACTCAGTCACATGCCCACTCACCTAGCCACGCCAACCAAATTGGTAGTGAAGTGTTTTGAAACCCACCCCTGAATATAACCTAGACGGATATACTGATATACATGAAAAATCTTTACTCTGCATTCATTAAATTGTTTACGGCATTAGAAATGCTGGATTTGACTGCTGTAAAGAATTATCCACCTAAGCCAATTCATAGCAGAACAGAGACATTTCTAACTGAAGGCAATAAAGGCCTTCAGGATCTATAAATGGGTGTGCCCAAAGGTCAGACGTCCCATCCCTTTCCTTTCCTTTTCATCCTCACCTATTGCTTTTGTATAGTAGTTGTATGCTTCATTGTAGTCCTTTCTGACATAAAATGCATTTCCCTGTTCCTTGAAGGACTCTGCTTCTCTGAAAACAAAAGAAATATAATCTGAAATGCAGCAACCTTGAATCTAAGCAAGACAGCAGTAAAGAGATGATAGATTTATCTTATCTTATCAAAAAACTCATCCTGAATAACAATAGCATTGGTACTGGGAAATGGATCATGCTACTAAATGCACCTTTCTTCATAAAACATTTATTCTCTCAATGATTGCCATAATGAATCAGTAAGATAGCCCTTAATTAATAATAAACATAATCCCATTTCTATTAAGAAGAAATGTGGTTAGCATTTCTTACAATTAACACTGGTGTTACCTAGATATTTGGAACCACTATGCTGTTGTGGGGAAAATATGAGGAGGAAGCAGTATTAGGTATGTTTGCCGTCTTGAGTTAAAATGCTAAAAGTAATCAAAGTGGGTAAAATAAATAAATAAAAGCTAAATGTGTAAATAAAAGTAAACAATCCCAGAAGAAGCAGTGATAAACCATTTCTGTTGTCAAGAATATGTTTTAATGTATCTTTTTAAAAAATGCTATGGAATTCTGGAAACTGCATAGACCACTGATTCTCCTCTACCTTAATAACAGCTTTGAGGATTGTCACTTATTTACATGTGCACAATTCTAAGTGAAGCTGCATTCAGCTGAATTATTCAAGGCTCTACTCTAATGACTGGAAGAGGTGTGTGACAAATTCAGGATATTATCAAACTATGTTAGAATGGGAATATAGCAGTCTGGCAAGCAGGCTCTTTACAGAGTTCTGAATTTATCTTCTTAGGGGTGACAAGGAATGCAGAAGACCTTTTGAGCAAGCTGGAAATCCAACTCCCAAACTAGCTATTGCAACAGTCAACCCTAAGAAACAAAAAACACCCTTGAATTCAAGTGAATGGCTCTAAATTGGTTTCTTCAGTGGAATCCCACCCCCTAGTACTCCTGGAAACAGCTAAGTAAAGCTGTTTGGCCTGGACAATACAAGCTATTTAGGGAGAAAAAAATCTCAAGAGAGAAAAAGAACAATGGAGGGTTGTATTGGTATGTGTTAACATGGTTTAACCTCATTTTGACCTCAATCCACTGGCCACCCTCTCTAGACTCCTACCCTCGGGCAATTCCCATTAGAATGGAGCAGTTTAGTAGATTAGATTGTAAATACAATCAAATGAAACCAAAAACATTTTATCTCATCAACAGGCTGATGGAGGTCAAGGCCTCCATACTGCTCACCCTCAGTGTAGTCAATCATGTTTACTTCAAGAAGATTATAGTGCTCTTGATTTGCCCTAGCCTACAAAAATATTAAGACTTACGAGAGGAATGGCACATGTAATCCAATAGGTATGATAGGTTCCATGTTCCCATTCCCACCAGTTTTAACTGTGAATATGTGATTTGAAAATCATTAGGGATATGTGTGTGGGGGTTATTGCCAAGAAGAGATTAGAGGCATCCACATTTAAGGCTCACCACAATTCTTCATAGCAAGCAAAGGAAAATCAGAATGTAATGAAACTATTATTGTATAACAACAGGATATGACATCATGGTTTGATCTTGGGACTTTTTAAGTGTAAACAAATTATAACTCCACAAATAGGTCTATCAGAGAAAAGTGGTTTTGTTAAATCTGAAATGAAAAGTTCTTATTTTTTCCTTTGGAAAACAACAAAACAGAAAAAGGCCAAATCACACATTAGAATCATGTGCACTAAAATCTACCAATTTTTATATATGTAGTGAGAGTACTATGTTTTAAGATGCAATTTTAGAAAAAGAGTCCTGTCCTTGTTTACTAAGGACTGGCTGCCAGAACAAGAGGGAAAGTCAGGATCTCCTGATATCACAAATGGTTGTTTCTGCTTCTAACAGATGCCATAGTCTGAATGAGGTCATTCTGCAAAGCTTGTGCTGATGTAGGCTGCGTTCCCCACTTGCTACTTTTGAAGCTGAAGAAAGAATCTGGCTAAAAATACAATCCAATTTTCTGAATAGGTCTCTTTGTTGGGCAAGACGTTGCTGTCCATCTGTGAACTCTGGGGGTGAGACACAGAGCTACAATGAAGAACTAAAAAAAAAAATCTCCCTATACTATTAAGCTTCTGGGAAGCAAATAGCCATGGTAGGAAAGATGTCTTTTGAATAAGATACCATAGATTGTTATGGTATTGAAGACCATTATGGTATATCATGCTAGATTGTTATGTATTGAAGATTGTTATGGTATGGAATGCAAGGACTCCTTAGACTGCAAGCGTTCTTTTTTTACTATCCACAAGGTCGAAGAGTAAAAAAAAGTTCTTAGATGTCAAAGTTATGGTGACATCTTAACATGACAACAAAACTATGTAGGACATATTGTGGACAAAGACTGGCATTCCATACATAACAAAACAGATAAGCGGTGGACGTCCAGAGGCGACAGGGGCTGTCGAGCTGGGGGTCCGGTCCCCATTGGCCCCAGGGGCCGCTTCTGGACATCTATTGCAGTCGCGAGGAGCAAAGCAGCTGGGAGATCTTTTTCCACATATAAAGCGCACCGGGTTATAAGCCGCACTGCCGATTTTGGATCAAATTTTAGGATTTTCAGTGCGGCTTATAGTCGTGAAAATACGGTAGTTTTTTTCTTCGAAAACATTTTGCTTTTCATCCAAGAAGTTTTTCCAGTTCTAACTTGAGTTCTAACTTCAGTTAGAACTGAAGAAATACTTTCAAAGAAAAGAACCCAAGAAAATTCAGTTGCCTTTTGGAAAAAGCATCTTTGGGATAGTCCACAAGGATTTTTATAAAAGCAGAAACCTTAGTGGCTTTCCACCCTCTATTTTAGTATTTCATAAACCAAAGATCAGCTCTGAAATAGCAATGCATAAGATCAGTAAAATCACATAGTTTGCACAATATAAAGTTGGATATATGAACTACCTCAAGCTAAGTATTAGGAATTACCAGTAGGTCTGTAAGGATATTTTTTTATTCTTCAGTTTTAACTTTCATGATGCAAGTGGAATGAGCATAAAGCAAGTTATTGTAGCATGTGAATAAACATTCATCTGTGCACTAGTGTCGCCTAGCGTCTAGTGAAAACAACTGAAGTCAAGTAAGTATGGGGCTGCATTAAGCGCTGAAAAAGTATTACATAGAGATTTGCACTTTTTATTCAAATTAAATTCTTCTCATACATTTTAAGCTTATGCCTTTGGTTTTTTTACTTTAAGATCACGCTTTGATTCAAAATCTTTAATAAGATTTCTCTTTCCTGCAGTGTACACCACATTGCTGTGCCAGATATTGCGTACTCTTTCCAGATAATCTGTGAGCTTCGGTTTTCGTTTCCTGGAAACTAGCTAGCTCCAGATATCAAAAAACTATTTGCTATTTAGAGCTTGATTTTATTCTCTGAATAGAAAAGGTAAGAAGCTCACTGCTAAGACAATAGAAACTTTCCTCTACTAAAAAGGCTTAAAATTGTGAAAAACTCAAAACAAATCACTTAAAATAATTTAGAACAGGAACATTCCTTTATTCTTCATTATTCAATCTAGCCGTGATTATCAAATAAAACAGACAAGAAAAAATCACAACTGTGCTGTTTTAGCATGTTAAGATCTTGAAGGTTGGATATTATTATACTGCATCATCCGAAAAATATAAAGAGCTATGTACAGTGCTGCTTTTTTATTGTTTTAAAATTTATTATTATTATTATTGAAAATGGGATGAGAGCTAAAGAATTAGAGCAAAAGAATAAACATTATTTCATGTGGGAACTAATCACTACACCTAGCAGAAATTAGTGTTTATTCATTTATAAATTCCCTCTTAACACTTCTACAATTGCTATGAAGGAAGGGGAATCATACAAACATCTGAAGCCTCTAACTGACTTCAGGGTCAAAGTCAAGAGTACCTAGAAATTTCCTTACAAACAAACTGATTAGGAATTCTTGCACACTTTGCCCTTCTGAAAAAAAAGAAAAAGAAACCTGAAGAAGTTTGAATTTCCTGAATCACATAGACCTAGCAGTTTGGGTGGGGTGAGGTAGGGTTTATTCCTATTTACTGAATTGGCGTTAATTTGTGGAGTCTTTGATGCAGACTAAGATTGCAAACATTTTCATTACCCGATTAAGTAAATCATCTATACTAATTAGTATGAGGTTTGCTCCCTGTTTATACACAACAGCTTGTCCTGTCAATGTTGATTGAGATGTGGTTTTCTGCTTGATGATGCCTTGATTGGGGCATTATTTTCTATTTGTCTCATGTTAATCCCTGTTTATCTGGATGTAGTCTGCTGGATATAGTCTGCTATCTTTTTGTTCTCCTTGTTCTTTAATTGTCTTTTGAATTGTAAATAAATGTGTCATTTGTGTCTACTTATGGCTGATCTATCTGGAATTCCTTGGTCTGAATGCCAGGCTTCCGGAATTCCTTACTTGGTCTAGGATGTTTTGTTTCCCAATTGAAACTAAGGCTGAGTCTCAAGAATATTTGTAGCTCAGGGTTGAAATGAGGTGTTCTTCATGCTGTCTGAACTTGATTGTTTTGTTGCAGATGTTTCATTATCCAAACTAGATAACATCAGAGATTCAAAAATAATATCCCTACAGACCTAATTTCTAATATTTATCTTGAGATAATAACTATCTAATTTTACTAATCTTATGCATTGCTGTTTCAGAGCTAGTTTGGGTAATGAAATGTTTGCAAAACAACCAAGTTCAGAGAACACCAAGAATCCTTCATGGTTGAATCTGCCAGGTGTTGTGATATTGAATAGTTTTCATTGTGTTTTCTACTTGCTGTTCATGGATGTGCTCTGTAATCCTGTCTGTCCTACATAGTAGTTGTTACAGTACTTACACTGTATGTTGTAGGTGACTCCTGGTTTTTTTCTTCTTCTTGGGCTACTGGGTCCTTTAGTTTACTTAAGATGTTTTGGATGGCTTTAGTTGGTTTGTGTGCTATAGTGATGTTATAATGATTTTTGTTGTTTCTGAGGCGTTTTTTATGTACAC